ATCCAAAATTATAAGAGTGAACTGCCGCCTAAACTGAAGCTACATAAATTTACTATGGAGAATTGAATTGTGACTCAGTAAACTCCAGCTTGGTGTTTTCTAAAGATACTGTGAGTCTTTTGACTGGAGCGCGTAGTTCCTCTCTTGGTAATAGCTTTGAGTAAGCTTAACAGTCCTTAAACTGTTTTGTTATTGCCACAGTTTGTGATCAGGCAAGACCATGGTTTCGGTTCTCCACACGAACCTCATCAGTTGCCGGGTTGGCTTTGTGCTTAGTTGCTTTTGCAAGAGCAACTTTGAGGGATAAGAAAAAAAAAGAAAGAAGGGGGCCCAGAAAAAGGGGGGGGGGGGGGTGAAAATTCACCCATTTCACCTCCCCTGGATCCGCGCCTGCCTTTCTTTTCCACGAAAGACGCCTGGGCTGAAATTTATTTGAATATCAAAATAAACGTCATGAATCAATATTTGCATTTAATGGTCATATTGTTGCATTCTTTGAACTTGTATAAAATTAGCATATCTGTTCATAACTATTCTAAGACTTGCTGTACACAATTATTAAGTGTTTTACGTACTGAATACAACCGTCGCACGCGCGCTGACAATGACAGACATAACAGCATAGCAATACAAAACAATGGAGGTTTATGGTTAAAAAACTTTCGATCTCTCTTTTTATCTCATGCTGCCATATGTTAATTTGTGTTTAAGGACTTGAAGGATCAATGTATACTTTAAGCTGTCGTCAACATAGTCTTTGCTCTTAATAACGCGACATTCTTTGACTTCCTTCAGGCCATACCAGTCTTTCAAAACCCAGACAGAAATAAGTAAATTGGACAGAGAAAAAACGTTTGACATTTAGATTTTGAAAAAAACTTAGGATGAAATTACTAGTGAAGGGACAAAAAAGGAAAAGACTTTACCAATTAATGATAAGGTCAACAATGCGTGTCAATGAAGTCAATATTTCCAACTATTTCAACCCTATATTGCCTTTCAATATAAAGACAGTATCGTTAACTACATTGTAGTATCAAGTCAGTAAAAATCCATTGTTGTTCAAAGTGTATATCTCAAATAGACGTTCCATTAGTAGTCAGCATTGGCCATTATTGCTGGCACAAATACTTCGTAATTGATTTCGCCTTTTGAGCTTACATGCCCCGTAGTTAGCAAGTCAAACTCCTCGTCTGTGAGCTTCTCTCCCAGGGAAGTAAGAACATGCCGTAACATACTAGAAGAAATAGAGCCGCCTCCTTCTCGGTCAAAATGCTTAAAACAATCCACGACTTGCTCGGGGGTGGCCTTGTTTGTCACACTTGCCATGTGCTGAGCGACAGAGTTGTAGATGGGCAAAAATTCCTCGAAAGAGACGGTTGCCTTGCCCACATCGCGTTCCACTTTGTGGACTTCACTCTGTGTTGGGTTTAAGCCCGCCGCTCTAAGAACTTGTCCGAGTTGGTTGACTTCTATCTTGTCCCCTCCCGTTGTATCGTAGAGTTGAAATATCTCTTTAAGGATTCCTTCATCGGGCTTTTTGCTCATTTTGCTGCCGTCCGTGCATACAAGAAGGCTATGACACAACTAAAGGTACCAGCACTAACAGATAGGAATGCACTGAAACCTTGTTGCGTTAAGTATTATCTCCCACGTGACCAAGTTCACTCATAAACTGATGTCACTAAATTTAGCAACAGCATATTGCCTTTCATTGGATTGTTGTCGTGACAGACAGCAGATCGTCGCGTGTCATGGTCAATTTATTTTTTGTGGTGATATCGTTTATGTGGGATTATGATAGGTAGGTCACGGTTATTGGATTAACGAATACCATATGGTATGAATACAATTTAACAGTTCGGCCACTCCTATCCTGTGTGGCATCGCGTCAGAAGAGATTGAGGAGGAAGTAAAGGTGAATGAGAGGGAAATAGGGAGAAGGGAAGAAGCTACCCTATTTTTTCTCTACGGGGTTTTTCTCTCCCCCTCCCCCTCCCCCCTTTGCGCCTGTCACACAGGCTAAGCCACTCCCTATTATACCGAAACGCACACTTATCAAAAACGCCTTCATGCGTATAGTATAGGAGCCTCCTCCTCCTCCAGCTCCTCCACCGCTGGGTATCAAAGTAGATACATATGGTTTAATGCGGCAGCTGGACTAGGTTTGAACAGGTGACTACTGCTATTATATACCGACCATGTCACGTCAACTGGTCATAACATGAAATGAGACCATTTCGAAACTTTGTATTAGGTTTCATTTTCTACCTTCCAGATCCGCCGGTGCTTGGATTTCAATTTTGGACCTTTCAGTCTGATAAGGCAAGGGGCTTGAAATGGAAGGGGTCAGTTAATGGCGTGTAACTTTCCGCTTTTCGTAATGCAAGATTTATATCTTAATCGGGTCCTTTTACAAATGTGCGGTAAAACGTAAAACAATATAAAACAATATAAAGTGGACAAACCTAGAAGATGAAGCTGATTTATGT